TGGGGGTGAAAAAATGCAGCCGAGAGCCAAGGGGAAATGGAATCATTCCACACGAGGAATGCAGCGTCGCACACTGGCTGTTTCCTCTGGGCCGTGGCCTCGCTGGTCCCTGAGCTGTCGTGAGGGTTTGCTGGAGCACGAGGTCTCGTTGCCCACGCGCTGTGACAAAGCACAAAGCCCTGCATTGTTGGCTAGCTTTAAAGCACAGCATTCAGCACATCTGTGAGCCGCCGTTTAGAGTGTGTAAACAACCTTGCTATTAATACATTTATTGACAGGTAGACATCGGTGCTCCCTGAAAACAATAACTAGCAAGGTTTGCTTCCATAAATAACCTGATGAAGATGTGGATTTGTTGTATATATTCTCCCAAATCAGACTTTACATAGTTTTGTGTTAAAATTAGCATGAAAAGTTAACACCTTTTCTTCCCTATTGTTTTCTTCCCTATTGTGATGGGTATCCGAGTGAAATAGCTTCTCAGACAAGAAAAAATGTAGGGTGGGATTTGCTTTTTTTCTGTGGGGAATTGAGTGGATGGTTGTGGTTTGCTATTGGTCGATCTCATGTGAGTGACAGGTTGCCCCGCCCCCGTGCCAGTAAACTCGTTATCAGAGAAGAGATGTCGCTGTAAAAGTTATTTTGATTCAAAATTATGAAGGCACATGAATAAAAAAAGATGCATACAGATAAATCATATATACTTAATATTACAATATTCCATAAAAAAAACAAGATTTGTCAATTTCATGGTGACTAAACATTGAGGATAGAAATACTCAAAAATGATATGTTTATGATAAAAAAACTCAATGCTTATATACACTACCGTTCAAAAGTTTGGGGTCAGTGAGAATTTTATTTTTATTTTTTGGAGGAAAGAAATCAATACTTTTATTTATCAAGGACAGTAAAGACATTTATAATGTTACAAAAGATTCTATTTCAAACAAATGCTGTTCTTTTGAACTTCCTATTCATCAAAGAATCCAAAAAAAAAAAAAAAAACTGTACAACTGACAGACCAACAACTGTTTCAACATTGATAATAATAATAAATGTTTCTTGAGCATCAAATCCTCATATTATACTGATTTGTGAAGGATCATTTGACACTGAAGACACTGACACTGGTGATGCTGAAAATTCAGCTTTGATCACAGGAATAAATTACACTTTACTATATATTCACACAGAAAACAGCTGATTTACACTGGAATAATATTTAATACTATAACTGATTTTTGTTGTATTTTTAATCAAATAAGCGCAGCCATGGTTAGCAGAAGAGAATTCTTTTAAAAGTATTTAAAATCGTACCGACCCCAAACTTTTGAACGGTAGTGTATATATATAATAAGAAAATAATACTAGAATGTACATTTCCAGAAGAAAATGTTGAGTGGTGCTTGCAGTGGCAAAACTCACCACTTGGTTGCATACGAGCCAATAAACATGTTTGTACGAGGTTCTGGTGCTGAGATATGGCTTATTCATGTGTTCAGGTGGTTGCTAGGATGTTCTTGGTGGTTGCTATGGTGTTGCTAGGGTGTTCTGGGTGGTTGCTATGGTGTTGCTAGGGTATTCTGGGTGGTTTCTAGGGGTATTTTTTATCATATAATAGTAAATAAAAAGTATTCAAATAAAGAAAAAATATTTTTTATTCCTTTGAATTATATAATTTAAAGGTTCATTTAAAGGGATCTGTTGTTTAATCTTACATCTGTGATCTTCCCTCCAGTTGGATCCTCTTCCTGAAGACGTGCTTCAACAGAGGCCGAACCCCAATGCCGTTCACTCCATGGAGAAAGTTCTGGAAGTCCAGAGTGAGTGCAAACACACTTTCACGATTCATTCTCTGATGGACTGATGCATATTGTACACACCATTCAAAAAAGATTTGTTTTTGTGTTTGTAGTATAGTTTATTAGATAAACTTGCCCCTGAACAATGTGTAAAAACAAAACAAATTGTGATTGGTCGCATATCATAAGGTGTCTTCCTCTTCAAGTGGGCAGTTTTTGGTGAGAATATTCCGCAATATGGACTAGACTTCTGTTTAGTCATAACTCTGGCATGCGTGTGATCTCTTTTCATGCTATTTGTATTTGACATCTTACACCTGTAAATAAAGCTTTTGGTCATATTTAAGGCTGAGCTTTGACCTTGTTTTGTGTCTAGGTAAATACTGGCGCTCGCTGGAGCGATCTGCCTCGACTCTGGGCTACTCTCTGCTGGAGGCTCAGAGATGTGAAACTGAAGAGGCAGAGACGGTGACCGCCATGGCCTCCCTGTCTGTGGCCAACAAGCACATGGGGAAGAGGTGCCGTTATATTTGAGTTTGTATGCGTGTTTGTGTTGGATATATGGCACATTCCACAAATACGGTTTGGGTCCCATTACTTAAAAAAACAAAAAAAAACACTTAAGGCACAAATAGTGTGTTTTACCTATAATTACCAATATTTATTTTATTAACTGTACAAAAAATATATATTTTAAGGTTAAATTATAAACTATAATATATAAATAATAAATTACCTCCTTTCATTGAATTTGCTTAAAAATGAGTTTCACCCTGTAATTGTTACCTTATTCCTGGAATGTGTCATACATTTGCTCATAGCAGGCTTCCTGTGTGTGTGTGTGTGTCTGTTTATGTGACCCCCATGTGTATTTATGGTTGTGTGAGGGGTCTCGAGGTACAGGACAAGTGTGTGCATGAGCCGTGATAGGCAGGCGGCCGGTTCGGGGCAGACGTCCAGCAGCGTCAGGCTTCTGAGAGACACACACTGCCAGAGTCCTGATTAAAAACACTCAGGAAACATTGAGCACAGATGCTTGAGGTTTCTGGACCTTCCTTACACACTCACACTCTTACACTCTCACATGCCCAGCACAGGTTCAAACTCGCATTATTTCCTGTTATTCCTATTAGGAGCCAAATGCCGAAAATGCATTGACACCTATTTTAACTTTATTTTCCTATTTTCTGTTTTCTGGCTTGGTGTCTGTGGCAGCCACACTTGATTGTGAAAGCTCCAAAACTCTGTGCCAATTTTGGAGTCGGTCTCTCAAACACTGTAATGCCACCAACAGTTTCATCAACGTTTTAGCTAATAACTTTTTTAACAAAATGATTTTTTCCTCTCTAGATCCTTTGAAAGTCCCATGAATCTGGTTGTTTCAATTTCCTCCTGATTTCTTCCAAAATTCTCAAATAGAATATTCAAATTTTGTGAATCTCCACCATGGCATCCACCATTTCTGTCAATTTAAATGAATTTGAATTTCTACTACTCCTACAAAACTGGTTTAGATCATATTCAGACCAAGACACAGAAATCCACTAAGTGTGTTTTTTATGTCTTACACTATTCTCAAGTAATAATTTTCAGCAAATTTGACACAAAACAGGAAGTGATGATTTATCTCTGAAATGAGTTTGTACACTTTGTACATACTGCTGTCAATGGAATACCATATAAATTCCCTAGGAATACCATATAAATTCAATTACAGTGCCCCCTACAGGGCAAATACTAGGTCAAATCTGCTCTTAGCATCAACACATAAACTGATTGTTCAATGGGAATGTCACTGAGGTGAAGGGCTCCATAGTTATATATTTAAATATATAACTATATTAGCATCTCCTTACTGAAGGATCTCTCAAGTAATATGGGTCTTTTTTTAAAACATAATTTTTGAGTAATTTGTGTAATATATTTGTGTAAGTGTTTTAAAAATATTACTTTTATTCATTTAAATAAAGTTGAAATGATATAAAATATAAATATTAGATGAAAATTAAAAACATTAGAAATGTTTCCTTGGCAACTAACTGAAATAATTTTAACTTCAAGTCTGAAATAAATGAACGCAAAAAAAAAAGGCTAAATCACTAAATCAGACAAAATTACTAAAACTAAAATTAAAACTGAAAATGTAAAAGTAAAATCTTATTCTGTGTATGTGCGTGTGTGTGTGTGTGCGCGCATGTACAGGGTTCCTAGAGGCAAGGAAACCTGGAAACATTTTAGAATTTTTAAATTGCGATTCCCAGGTCTAGGAAAAAAAAAATATATATACATAATTATTACAAAATCTTTAAGTCATGAACATTAATGGTGAATATAAATGAATTTGTACCTATGCTCAACTCTGAAATATTTAGTTGGTGATTATATTTAATCATGATTTTAATTGGGAGTCATTGAAAATCCCAAGTAAAAAGATGTGGAAACCTCTCATGTATGATGTAACTCAAAAGGTTTGTGTGTGTGTCGCCCCACAGGACAGAGGAGGAGCCCATGGAAGAGGAACCTCCATTGTAGAAGGTCCGCTCGAATGCCTTGGTGACCCTCTCAGCTCAGAGCCTCTTCAAGGCCTCTGACGTCACTCTACTCTCTCCATCCGTTTCATTTTTTGTCCCGCGATGTGCGCACTTTGAGCACGGGATCCGAAACGGCCTGAAGAAATCTCCGTGACACCCAGAGTGCGACAAACGTCTCAGCCGTGTTAGTCTGTCTCTGTCCGTGGCAGCAAGTCCAGGATTGTGCATCCTGGTCTGTCCACAGGGACACTTAACATTCGAGCAGGACATAGACTCATGTTTCATTGTTAGATGTGAGAGCTGGTGCTTTCGACATGAACTTGTTTTCCAATATTTTCCAGAGCCACTATAGTCCACGTGATTGATTTCGGCTGTGGGGTCTCGTTGCGGCCTACGTCTTCTTTTTTATTTGTTGTTTGTCTGTTTTTCTTTTTCGTTTTGGGAGAAAAAAAGTGACTTGTTCCATTCTCCATCCGAGTCACCGCTTCTGACATTCATGACGAGAGACCCGCAAGGGTGGACGGATGGGACTGTGAGAGAGGGCGAAGGATTCTGGGAAGCCCCGACAAGAGAGCCATGAGAGTGACAATTTGAGTTTGTGCCTTTTTCAAAAAGAGTTTCCGTGACGGATCGAGAAGAACATTGCCTTAAACTAGTTACAGGAGGGGAGACGTTTTTTCTTGTCGCAATGGTCCAAGGCTGGCCTAGAGAATCGAGAGAAACCCTCAGCATGTTTACCAGGAACTCCCTGCAGATATCTTCATGTTTCACACGCATTATGACCCGTTTTATGTTCCTTCATTTTTACTGTGCTTGTGTTGGATGTTACATGACTTTAAGTGTCACTGACAAGCGAACTTTAAGGTAGTTGCCAGCCATCCAAGGGCAAAATTTAGTTGAATTCTCCAACGCTTTAGAAGGCAAGCCAATGTAGCGACTCATTTCAAACTCTAATGACCAAATACGCTCCTCCTCCTCCTCCTCCGAAGAAAGGTTGACCAGCATGCAGCTTTCCATCTGCCGAGTTAGGAATTCAACCGTCGTAGATTAACAGCGCCAACGAGCATGAGTTTGCTGTTAACCCACTAGCTGCGAGCATATAGGATAGGGCTGCGATGACCACGCGTCATACGATTTGTAGTTAGAGACGAACTTTCTATTTTTCCTTCTCTCAACATGTTGTACTTTTATATAGCTATGAATGTCTAGTTTTCCGGTTTACTTTACAGTTAATCAAAGGGCACTAGCGTATCACTACTATTATTCTACTCAGCAGATGGTCAGTTTTATTGACACCTTTGGAACAAGCGGAAAAGGGCTGGTTACCGATTTTAAATGTACCACTGAGCCTTCAGACGTGCCACCTGGTCAGATTTAGCGCTGGTTTCCTGCCGACAGGCCCGAGCGAGGAGGGTTACGGGCCTTTCACTAAGGGGCAGGTGCTCGTCACATGACACAATCCAGGAAGTAGCGGGACCACCAGCTTCCACTCAGAAAACAATCGTAAACGCCTCTGAGAAGACTGTGATACTCAGACAATCTGCATGGGACATTGACATAGTCGCCGGCGCTTCGAAATGGCACATAGAATTGTATATATATATACACAATTATGCATGCTGACAGTAGATCATTTGGCTTGACTTTGATTGTACATTGAATTTTATTCGATTCTGGACTGATGAAGAGGCGATGATTTGTTTGACAACCCCTGACTCGTATTTAGCCTCTCGGCAACTACCTTTGGCATTCTTTTTCTGTGTGTCATGTTCAATATGAGACTCATTAAGGCGGGAGATTTGACTCACCGTTGCCATTGTTCCTCGACTTCATTTTTATATATGCCTGTCACGTATGACTACTCCACTTTGGGTTCGTGCCCATTATTTTCTTGTCCGGTTTTGTGAGCTCATCTGTCCCGTTTAATTTTTTTGTACTTTTTGGATTATGTACTTGTTCATTTGTCAGTCTTTATGTAGTTGACGATGTGTTTTACATGCTCAAGTCTTTAGTTTCTTGTTTTAGAGAGTAACAAGCCTTTTTTTAATTTGTTTTTTTTTTTTGTATGCGGTGGGAGGGAGATGCTTTTACTTTGTATAATGATTACGACAATTGTGTATTTACTACGTTCTGTTCATAGTAGATTTATATTTCAAAGATCTATAGATATATTATATATTATAAAGATTGCAAAGTGATATATTTCAGTACATGGTCTGGCTTCGGCCGTCGCTGGTTCCACTGAAGGCACTGTTTATTGGTTTCATGCATTCACAGTAGCATTACTCTGGCACCGTAAACTCTTGATCAAATGTGGTTCCAGGCTTCAGTTTGACAGAGTGCTCTCTAAACTCTCATACGAAAGTCCCGTGGAAAAATATTATTGACTGACACTGTACATTTCAATTGGTAAAAGTCCATTTGGATAGACCAAGTAGATACTGACAGTGATCCAAAATGGATTTGATTTTCATTTGAATCATTTTAACCTATCAAGAACACATCCGGGTCATATTTCACCCTAAAATCAAAGGAAAAGATGTAATAAATCACATTTTGCCACAGGAAAACAAAGCAACACTGGCTCAACCAATGGTGTGAGTTAGGGGTGTGGCTATCTGTTTGTTCGACCAATGGCGGACGGGGAGTGTTTGAAAATAATTATCATAAGGTTGTGCAGAAATGACACATTTCAGCTTTGTGAAATATATTTTAAAGAGAATTAACAAAAAGCTGAAAAATAAAATAGTATAAATTATGATCATTGGGGGGGGATATGCTTAATTGGCTTTTTAAATAAGCATATTTTTTTATGCAAAATATCGTTTCTTATTTACCTCCTTTTGATTTTAGGGTGAAATGCAACCCGGACATGACTTTGTGAAAATGTAAGCGTTTTATTTATATGCGGTCACTCTCGGGACTCTTTATGTTTTGTAAAAATCTGCGTCTTGTTACTCTTTCCGAGCTATTTTGGGGCATTTTTGCAGTATCATATCAAAACCAAGTCCATCAAATCTCATCTGATTTTACTTTCAAGAATGAAGTGCGAAGGCTTGATTTGAAAGTGGAAATATAAAGCGACATAATAGTAATACTCAAACCGGACAGCCATCAAACTCTCAGACCACTTTACAATAATACAAACGGCAGCCTATCGAAAGCCTTGTCAAAGGGACTCTATCTGGTTCACCCCGGATAGTCATTTTCTTTGCTCTTGTTTTGTATAAAAGAAAACGAACTGCATTCCATTTGGTTTCCCAATTTTTGTTTTACCTTTCTTGTCATTCCTGCTAATTTGCCATGAGGTCTGGCCTGAGCAGTTGTTTATTTGAAGGCCAGGGTGAAGTTTCTTTTATTCTCTTTCCTTCACAGCTGTAGATTTCTGCATGGTTTGTGCGTCAGCATGCCTGTCTGTCCTTGTAACATATTTGCACAAAGGAGGAACACGGGAGGGTTGAGGCTTTGGAGAACGCATGGGATGGAAGCTCCTCTTTCCTCCTCTTGTTTCTGGTCAGTTCGCAGACGGAATGATGCTCTTGGTGTCCGACGGATGTGCTTTTTACTTGTTTAAAAAAGGAATGAAAGAAAAATGACTTTTGAATATTTTACAACAACAACAAGAAAGTTATCTAGCACTTGTGACATACAGACTATAGACTTTATTGTATTTATGTAGAGCATTGTTTTAGGTGAACTACACACTACGTCACACTTTAGACTGTTTGTGTGACTTCTTTTGCTTTCTTTTTTTCTACTCTTCCTAAGGATTTGTTTTTGAGGCTGGAGGAAGACTAGGAAAAGATTAGGGTCATTCCTTTAGAAACATCTGGAATCATCGAAGGGCTTTTTTCCAGATGTTTGTCAGAAATATCTTCAGTTTGTCTAAAAGGAGAAAAAAAAAAAAACACTTATCAGCCAGTAATACCTGTGACCACTGTGGCTCGAGAACAGTTCTAGGTTTACAAAATGTAAGAAATGCATATTATTTTTGTCACTTTGTTTTTCCATTGTTACAATAGAACTTTTCTTGGGACCTTTGCTCTAATGTTTGTCTTTGACATCAACTATAAAGTACCTTGTTTTTGAATACCACACTGTCTTGTGTTTATTTCCGAGCACTCAACGGATTCACATAATGCAATGAGTGAGGGGCTCTAATTATTATAATAGTATAATCACTAAATTCATTAAATATCATATTTCCTACTCAGATCATTTAATTGAAGATTTCATTTTTGATAGTTTTCTGCTTTCTGACTTCGTGTTTTGTATATTTTATCATAATTTTAGGTTTATTAATCACTGTCATATATCTTGTAGTACATGTGCTCTCATACAAAAAAAAACTAAACGTACCAGAAAAAGAAAATTATTGGTCGGGGTGCATTTTTGCATTTCATTTTAATAACTCTTGATTCCTTTACCTGCCATCTTTTGGTAAATAAATTATATTTATCTTAAATAAATATATATATATGTGTGTGTGTTTAAATAATACCTAAATTACAATTGTTTAACCATTTGTTGATAAATGTATTTTTACTGAACACTAATAATTATAGATACAATATTGATAAGCAGGTCCAGATATCTGCAGGATTGGAATGCCTGTCACTCATCCATTGTGTGTTTTGAATCTGAATATGAATATTTGGCTAATTTGGTCATGATTTAGGATTCATTGACATTTCTGTAGATTTCTCCCCTCAAAATCTGCTCAGTACATGTTAAATACTTTTTAATCAGAAGAATGGGAGTCTGCAGCTGTTAAACCTCAATCGTTTCAGTAGGAAGTCCCAGTCCTTGTTAATCTGACCGCCGTAAGTGTTCTTGTCACATTGTGAAGGGACTAATGGCCTGTCTGGTAGTGAACGTTGAGCTTTTCTCATCATTTTACAATGTAATTCTGTGGTGTGCTCTTGGGCGACAGGGACTTTTTGTAAATCTATTACGTAGCAAACAACAGTGCACCACAAGTAATGTTCTATGGAAAACTCGTGGAGATGAATTGTTTGCGGGGAGAGAAGGGCCGGGATGCTCAGATGTCCCACAGTGTGTTTAAGGACTGTGGTTTATTGTCACAAGCATCAGTTTGCCTGGAGCACAGAACAGAACCTTAGCGTTTAGTCTGTGAAAAAAATTATATATATATATAAATATATATATAGAGAGAGAGAGAGATTAAATGAACATCTTTGTGCTGGATGTTAACTGCCCTATAAAGCAGATATTAGAGGTCTTTTCAGATGTTCCAGGAAAGATTAAAAAAAAAAAATTAAAGAAAGAAAATGTATGTCACATTTTTTTATTTAATATTTAAATATTCTTATATTTATATATTTTTTTTAATTAATCACTAATCAAATAAGTAAATGAGTGAAATAGATAATGTGACACTTTGATGTTCTTCCATTGAAATTTTCATTCACATTGTTGTGCAAATCTTTTTTTATTATTGAATTTATATATTAGTATTTTCTAATCAATTTATAAAATAATTTAATACTTTTATTCAGCAAAAGTTAAATTAATCAAAAGTGACGGTAAAGACTTATATTTATTTTCAAATTTTTCAAATGTTCTTTTGAACTTTCTATTCATCTAAGAATCCTGAAAAATTCATAACCGTTTCCACAAAAATATTAGGCAGCACAACGGTTT